CTGTGTGATTCCACTTAATACACTGATTTTTAAAATTGTGAAGTATATCCTACACATAAAAGTATATTTTTATTTGCTTATTTTTTAAGTTGTGAAATACATATACTAAAAGGTCTATGTTGTGTACTTGGGCAGTCATGAAATAAAAATAAATAAGTATACACCAAACTCCTCATTAACCAGCTTGAAAAACAGAACATTTCTAACATCTTTGAAGCCGACTGTGAGCCACTTCCTGACTGCATTCATCCTCTCCCTGGAGGGAGCTACTATTCTCAATTTTGTGTTTATCATTGCCTGTTTTTTTCTTATCATTTTATTATATAATACATATCCTTAACAATATAATATTATTGCATTTTGAAGTTCATATAAATAGAATCATGTTTATTGTCTCTCTGATTGTTTTTTAATTCCACATTGTTTTAAAGATTCATCTACAATTCTGCATGTAGCAATAGTTTGTTAATTTTCAGTGCTTCATTTAACCATTTCCCTAATGGTGGATGTTTTGAGTTGATTCTAGTTTTATGTCTTTACAAAGTTTTTTAATGAAGATTCTGGCATGTGCTTCGGTATGCACATGTTCAAGAATTTTTCTAAGGTACATACCTAGAGAGTGACAGAGTATGTACATGGTCATCTTTACTAGAAAATGTTCATTTTCCAATATCCTTTTACCAATATGTAATCCCATCAACAGTGTGTAGGTGGTCTGTGGTTCCACATTCTTGCTACACTTAATATTGTAAAACTAATTGGTTTTTCCAATATAATGGGGATAAAAGGGTACCTCACTGTGATTTTAATTTGTTTTTCCTTGATTACTAATGAGGCTGAACATAATTTTATTTGTTTATTTGCTGTTCTTGTATCTTCCCTGTGAAATTCTTCTTTGTGCCTTTTCTATTGAGTTGAAATGTCTTTTCTTATTTTGGGATTTATTTACATATTTTGCATGTTAATCTGTCATTTTAATATATTGCATCTATTTTCTTCTAGTGCATACCTTGTATTTTCTACTCTCTTTAGAATGGTTTTGATAATCTTAATTTTTTAATTTCAGTGTAGTCAAGTTTATTAGTCTTTTTCATAATGCTTTACATTTTTAATTTTATTTAGGAAATCTTTCTGTATCTCTATTATGGAGCTATTCTTTTGTAGTGTTCAAATAAATTCACTTGCCTTTCACATTAAAATATTTTATCCATCTGGAGCTGATATCCATCTGGAGCATATAAATGGAGGTAAAAATACATTTCTATTTTTTTATCCAGACCACCAATTGTCCCATTTATTGAAGAATTCCTTCTTTACTTGCTGATCTATAATGCCAGTCCAATCACACATCACAGTTCCATACATGGATGGGTTTGTTTCTGGGCTCTATTCTGTTCCATTAGGCTGTTTGTCTCTCCTTGCCTGCATTAGTATCATACTATTTTGCTTAATATGGTTTTATAATAAGTTTTTGTGTCCAGTGCCACAAGTAAGCCCTTCCTCTCTCTTCTATAATATATGCATGTCAGGCATATATTTCTCTGGGAATTGTCTATTTTGAAAAGTAAATGCAAAGCTTTATATTCATGCCTTTCAAAATTCCTCCTATTTACTTGGGCTATTATTTTAGCACACTGAGAATATTTTAAGTCATAATGTTGTCATCTTTTATGTTATCTGCCCCTCATAACTTTTAATATCTTCATCTCATTAGTTGATAAAAATTTAGAACAGGACAGAGCCTGCTTTTCTAAGAGTCTCTAGTGGGGATGTATCATTAAGACATTTAATGGCAAATTTAAAACCATCACTTGTGAGAAAGTCCAGCCCTCCCAGAAATCTGTGGATGACCATAATCATTTTAACCTCCCTGGATTTTAGTCCCCTGTCTCTAATATGAGCAATAGCAGTAATAGTAACTCAAACAAACAAAAAGGACAGAGGCAGATCTCTTGGACAGAAAACATTGGGCGGTGAATTTCAGGATCAAACCAGAATGATTTATACAGTTTCTCATGTTGTTAAGGTTGAGAATAGAAATAAATTTAATCAGAAAGGATAAATCTATCACTGACATAAAGGAAGAAAAATATTTCTTGGAACTCTTTAAACTTGTTGTTGGTCCTTGACGGCCTTGGCTTATATTTGACGAGAAAGTAGAAGCCATCAGGTCAGAACCTCTTTGACTTTCTGCCCCTTCCTGCTAAATTTACCAGAACTCTTCCCAGTCTGGCTCTCTTTCCCTGTCTCAGTGGAAACTGTGTCTCTCCTCCTGTCCAAATCCATTCTCTGAATTCTTCTTTTCTCCGCAGAGACTTACTACACATCGTCAATCCCCATTTGTTCCAGAGTCTTCTATCTTTCTCATCTACTGACTCCATCCTCTGAGCATCTAAATAAACTCAGATATCTACCATCATAAATAAGCAACACACATGCACACACACACACACAAAAACACAAAAATCTCCTTTGCTCTTACATCACCATATAGCTATCACTCAAACGCTTTTCATAGACAAGCTTCTAGACAGAGTTGGTTACGTTCACTTTTTCCACTGGGTCCCCTTCCATTAACCCTTCAATTCACTTCAATCTGCCTCTGACCCCAGTAGTCTTGCCAATTACTTCAGAATTTCCAAGTCCAATTGACATTCTCATTCCTTCTATTAATTGGAATAATATAAGCATACAACACTGTCAACCAATCCTTTCTTCTGGAAATACGCTTGTCCTTTAACTTCCATAACATTCTTTCCTGTAGGTTTTTTTCCTTAGCTTTCTTGATTTCTCATTCTCAGTACCTTTCATGGGCATCTCTTTCTCTACCATCTGTTACATATCTGCGTGCCCCAAGGTTTGCTCACTCTTTCTCCCCCTTCTGCCTCACTGTTCACACCCCTGCTGAGCACTCTCATCCCCGAATCTGGATCTCTATCCTAAATGTTTCTCTGGATGAAAAGCTCTGCTGAGGTGGCCCCCAGGCATTGATCACCATTATTTTGTCACCCAGAGTGTTCTCTCTCTTTCTTTTGGTTTCTCTTTCTTGCTGGTCATTCTAGCCCCAGACCTACAAATTATTTTAGGCTTCTCAAGTCTCACAGCTGCTCATAAAGTACAGCTAATCTGCTTTTTAAACTTCACTTGCTCATCTCTCCATCTGCCTTGCCTCTGTACAAGTTCTTGCCTTCTGTTGTGGATTTAACTATTCCCCCCAAAATAGTATGTTGAGGTCCTAAGCCCTGGTACTTGTGAATGTGATCTTATTTGGAAATAAAGTCTTTGCAGATGTAATCAAGCTAAGATAAGGTCATACAGGATTAGGGTGAGCCCCGAGCCAAGACTGGTATCCTTATAAGAACAGGGAAACGTGGACACAGAGATGCAAAGACACACAGGGGAGAGGCCATGTGATGACAGACGTAGAGACTGCAGAGATGCTGCTACAAGCCAAGGAATATCAGCAACTACGAAAAGCTAGAAGAAGCAAGGAAGGATTCTCCCTTAGAGACTTCAGAGAAAGCATGCCCCTGCCAACACCTTGATTTTGAATTTCCAGCCCCCAGAATTATAAAACAATAAATTTCTGTTGTTTTAAGCCAAGTAGCTTGTGATACTTTTTTAATGGCAGCCCTAGGAAATTATTACACATTTATTATCTCTTGCTTAGATTGTTATAATATAACATCCTAGCTGGTCTTCTGCCTTCAGTTTCACATTCCATGTTCATTCTCCACAATGCTGCCAAAGTGCCCTTTTCTAAAAGAGCTCTTTAACTTTCCCATGCCTCTAGTTTGTCATCTGTAAATAGGAGCCCTACTTCATAGGAGCACAGGGAGGATTTACAAATAAAAAAGTATAACAATATATTAAAAATGAGACTTTTCCTGTCTTAGTTTTGGTTAGGGCCAAAAGGCCAACAAAAACACCACTTACACCAAATACCTCTACATACTAAAGCAATGTTCTAAACTAGCCTGTCCAACAGAACTTTCTTCAGTAATGGAAATATATCCATGGCCCAATATAGTAATACTAGGCACATGTGGCTATGGAGCACTTGAATTGTGGATAATGGAATTAACAAACTAAATTTTTAATTTAATTTTAATAGTTACTTTGTTAGTGGCTATCATATTGAGCAATGCAATTCGAAACCAAGAGCTAGCAAAGTTTTCCTGCACAGGGCCAAATAGTAAATATTTTAGGCTTTGTGAGCCATCTGGTCTTTGTTGCAACTACTCAACTTTGCCATTGTAGCATGAAAGCAGCCACAGGCAATATGTAAATGAATGGGCAGGTCTGTGCTTCACTACAACTTTATTTACCAAGACAGGTGGCAGGCAAGATTTGGCCTGTGGGCCACAGTTTAACAAACCTTGTTCTAGACCATCCATGCAAGCAAGTCATACTGAGAGATGGTAAAACTAGTTTCGCCGGCATAAACTCATCACCTCCCTGGAGGTTACAAAAGGGGTAACTGAAGTGCAAAGGTTCTAGAGACGGCTATGGGTGGCTGTGGACGTGCTGGTGTGTTCCTGTGTTAGTATATAACCAACTGGGTGGTGGGTAGGTGCTTCTCTCTTACGCTAGGCTCGGCAAGAGCAGGTCAAGGATACCGCTCAAAGAGCTTGCCAAGTGTTCTCTAGAATGCAGAGAAGGTAGGAGTGACTCATGACTGACTCATGTCTGGAAACGTTAAAGACGAGAAGCTGTGATGTGCATGAGGCAGCAGAACAGAGATACGAGGCTGCCCTGGGAGACAGCTGCTCTTCCTTCTCCCGCAGTTAAAGGTGTTCATTTCCAGGGGACTAAAGTCAGATACCTCAAAAGAGAGCTTGCCTGGGCTCGTCCTTAAAAAAAGCCCTGCCCAGAAGGGCTGCTAAACATGCACTATGACCCCAATAGATGGGTGCATGGCAGAAACCGGAAGCTACCACTTCCTCTGACGGGGGAAGTTGCTGCCAGCTGTAAGAAGGGCCCTACCCATGACAAGTGAACCGCGGTGTGAAGGCCCTGGCAGGGAACCTCTGGGGAATGTGCAGCGACAGAAAGCTGGCTTTGGACTCCTGCCATGCCCAGGGGACACCACCCTCAAACAACCACATCAGTCAAATAGGACCCTACTTCAACTCCTTCCCTCTGGCACGTAGCCCTGGAAGGATCCAAAGCAGTAGGTATGACTGAGAAAAGAGGTGGCTTAAGGACTTCAGCTGTAAGAGTCAAGGAGGAATTCACTTTGGAGTTAAAGAATTACTAGACTGACTGGAGGTATTATTATTTCAGGGTGACCAAGGAAGCTGTGAAGCCTACCTAATATTTTGTCCTGGGCAGAAGAAGGTGTTTTTCAACAGAGAGCAGGGTGACTAAAAAGGTTTGGAAGACTACAAAGATCTCTTCTGCTTGCACCATTTGAGTCCAGCTCAAACAACAGGCCACGTACACAGGTAGATTTCTTAGTAGGTGCTCAACCATTGTTATTATCATGTTTCTCCCCTGCCGGAAATCCTTTAGTGTTTTTTTCCAAACTCCATGGCATTGCACATTATGAAATTTGTGACCTGAAACCTGAATCCTTCTTTTTTTTCTGTCGGTTCCATTTGTCTGGATTCCTGGGCTCTAGACACCCCAGGCCCCTAGGAAGGGGCCTTAAATGCTATACTTTCCCACACAACTATGACTTTGTATGTGATGCCGCCTCTGCCATGAATGTCCTTCTCCTCTGCCTACTTCCTACTTGTCCTTTCTCAGGACTCAATTCACAGGGCCCTCCCTTCCTCCAGAAGTCTTCCCAGATGCTCTTTCCTCTCCCTGAGGCTGGGTTACTTGACTCTGTTCCCAGAGCACCTTGTGCAAAGCTCCATCAGCATTTATCACAGATATGTAATTATTGTCTGCGCAAGTCGGTGCCAGACTGTCAGGTGCCGAAAGTCAGGGCCATGTCTAACTCATTATTTTGTGCCCAGAATCTATCACAGTAACTGACTTAGTAGATGCTCTCAATATTTAGTGAATGAACAAAAACCACTTGTGCCTTTGTTTTAGCTGGCAGAAAAGGAATATGTGTATAGTAACACTGGCACTCTAGTATTATCAGTATTTCACAAATAGAGAATATCTTTTGATATTTTGCATTGCTGTGGAATCTTAGGTGGGGAAGAGGGGTAAACTTTTATAAATATTATAGTTATTTATATTCAAGAAATGGCTTATTTAATAGTCATTTAGAATGACTGTAGTCAAGTTATAATGCTATCCCATGTCATTTTCCCTTTGTATTATGAAATACTTTGCACCTGCAGAAAGCATACGGAATAAAGTAGCAAGCATCACGTACTGACTATCCAGCTTTTTCAGACCTCAGCTTCAGATATATTTACAAGAAATGAAACAAAAATTTGTAGTAGAAACTCCCTGTGTTCCCTTCCCTAATAGATACCCTACCCTCTCTCCTTCTGCAAAGGTGACCCCTGTGTTTAATTTGGCATTTAGCACTTCCATTCATATTTTATCCTTTTATAACATGTCTATCTCTACAAACAAGATATAGTATTATTTCCCGTGGGTTTTTATTCTGTCAGAATGAAGTTTTGGTTCATGTCTGTATCATTCAGCAGTTGAACAGGTAAATTCATCATCTGAATATTTCCCATGTTTTAACATTTTATATATACTTGATAATCATGTTGTAGGTATCCTTCTACACCTTGCTTATTTTGCTCAATTGTGTTTTTTGATATATATCTGATACATGATATCATGATACATGTAGCTCATTCATTTATCTTAAGCACTGACTAGAATTCCATTGCAAGAAGATACCCAATTTATTTATTCATTTTATTTGTGATGGAAACACAGAAATTTGAATTATTTCCAAGTTTTTACTCTTACGATGGTACAATGAGCATTCTTCTCTGTGTCTCTTTGTGCACAGGTGAAAGACTTTATCCAGACCATTTATCTAATAATAAAAGCACTAAATCTTGGCACATATATCTTTAGATGTATTAGGGATTATGAAATTGCCCTTCAAAGGAATGCACTAATTTCAGTTCCACAGGTAGGATTTGAGTGTTCTTATTGCTTTATATCCTCACTGCACTTCACAGTCTATTATTAACTTTACTGTTTGCCAAGCTTATAGGTATGAAATGGTATGCCATATGGTTTTCTATCCACTGCCTGGTTACTGAGTTTGAGTATCTTGTCACATTTTGTTTGTTTTGCTTCCACTTCAGTAAATCCCCTGTTCAAATCCTTTGTCGTTCTCTATTGAGTCCTTTGTCTTTTTCTTATTATTAATAATTTGTAATAATTATTTATTTTCTTAATTGTCATAGCTTCATGATAACTGGTAAGACAAATTCACCTCCCTAGTCTTCAAAATTACTTACTTGCAAATTTTCAGTTTTTTCTTCCATTTCAATCTTTATATTTTTCAGGGGTTGAGGGGAAGACAGTGAGGAAGTGTCTAACTGCCTTTTGTAGGACCTTCAGTTTAATATTAAACAGATTCAATAGAAGTAGTCAAAGCACAGGATATCCTTATCTTATTCTTGACTTAAATGGTTTCCTTATTAAGCAAACTTTAATAATAAAGAGTCTGCCCCATTTTTGATGTTTGACTATGGATGGCTTTCATGTTTACCATGTCTCCCTTCCAATGCTGCCCCACGTTTGGGCAACCTAATAGGAAAGCCTGGATGCTGTCACCTTTGCCATTGGTGGGAAGCTCACACCAGCCCCAGCCCCCATGCCAGGGAAACTTCACCCAGTGCTACCTCCTGACCACCATGTCTTAGTCTGCAAGAGCAGCTATAGCAAAACCATAGATTGGGTGGCTTCAACAGCACAAATTTATTTCTCATGGTTCTGAAAGCTATAAGTCCAAGAGGAAGGTACCAGCAAAGTAGGTTTCATTCTGAGGCCTCTTCTCTTGGCTTATAGGTGCCGCCTTCTCACTGAGGATTCACATGAACTCATCTTTGTGTGTGCACACACAGAGAGAGAGCCTTGATGTCTCTTCTTCTAAGGATACTAATTACCTCCCAAAGGTCCCATCTCCAAATACCATCACACTGAGGATTAGGTTTCAATATAGGAATTGGAGGACATAGTCTATAGCACCTCACCTTTTGATGAGAAAAGTGTCAAAGAATTTATGGCCAAGCTTTTAAACTGCCACAATTGTCCTACTAGCCACAACATTTACATTCTCCCATCATGGAAAATATACCCACTTTCTGACAAGAACCCACAAAAGTCCCATTCATTTGCAATAGCAAGCTCAGATTTGAGGTCTAGGATCTTGCTATCTAAATCAGGTCCAGATGTGGATAAGACTTTGGGATATAATTCCTCAGATATGATTCCTTTTCATCTAAAAACCTGTAAACTAAAGAGACAAGCTTCCTCCCCACACCCAACATATGAGGTACAGGCAGGCATGGATCACTGCAATAGGTACTCCGGCTTCAAAAGGGGGAACCAGAGGCAGACAGCAGTCACCAGTCCATAGCAAGTCTGAAATCAGTCAGGCCCATGCTGCTAGTTCCTTGATAAGGGACTTTCTAGAATGGTTCACAATGACTCTAGGCTCCATGCTCCGGGTTCTTGGTTTCACCTCCTGTGTCATCCTTCCTTTCCTAAAACCCCTGCCAATAGACATTCAGGGATCAAAAGACCTCCTTTCATTTTATACTGTTTCTGTCCCTTTCATTTGAAGCTGATACAATTTCTTTTAAAATGATGCAAGTTTCTTGCTGATCCATTTATAATTTTATTAGACATACCTAGGAAATTATCCTATAAAGTCTTTCTCTCCCTTGGGCTACCTCTGGGTCTGATATGGAAAAATGCCCTTAAAGACCTTAAATTTGTCTGTTCATTTGTCTTTCTTAGAAAGCATATGTTTAATGAAAAATGTCTGCACAGCACACCTTTAAGATCCTTAGAAGACTTTTGCTTGTTTGAAAAGACCCCCACCTTAAATTTTGTGAAGTCTAAATAGAGGTTGATAGGTCACACCTTGGGCTGCATCTTTTCCCTGAAACTACCTTTTCCTGACAGCAACTAGGACTTGACCTTTTCCCTGAGGTATTTTCTTACTTGGAGATGTTTACAAGTTGGGAAAACTCACTTGTACCCTTTTCATTTTATACAAGCTCTGCTCTTTAGTGCATTGCTCTCTCATATTTTATTATAGGCACATAGATGAAGCCAGGAGACACTTTTAATATTCTGCACAGAAATCTCTTTATCTAGATTGTTAAGTTTGTTAGATATATTTCCTATTTTCCACATTATCACCGGTGACAGCATTACCAAACTTTTCACTAATGCTAATAAGCGTCCTCTTTTCTCCAACTTCCCCTAACATGTCTATTTCCTTCACTTCTTCACCTCTTGTTTCTCAAGGTATGTCAGGCTCCTACCTCCAACATGGCCCCAAAATCAACACCGCATGTTCCGGGTCTTATTATGAAAGCACTCCTTTTTGGGTACCAAGTTATGTTCCAGTTGTCTGTTGCTGAATAACAAACAACCCCAAAACTTAGAAGCATGAAACTACCACTGTTTTATTGTGCTCATGGGTTCCGTGGGTGATAAATTCAGACAAGGTACAGTGAGGATGGCTTGTCCCTGTTCCATGACATCTGTGGCCTCTCAGCTAAGAAATCTTGAATAGCTGGAGGTGATGCAAAGGGCTGAATCATCTGGAAGTTTCTTCATTTATTCTTGGTGCCTTTCTAGGGATAGCAGGAAGGCTGGCCTCAAGCAGAAATGTCCACTGGAAACCACACATGAGGCCTTTCTAGCAGGGTGATTTCCAGGCAGCTGAGCTTCTTACATGGTGGCTGAGGGCTTCAAGAGCAAGTATTCCAGCAGAATACTGCATGGGTCTTTGTGTCCTAGCATCATAGATCGTCTAGTTGTCACTTCCATTGAGCTCTATTGTTGAAGGCTTCAAAACCTGCCAAAATTCAAGGGGAAGGAGGACTTCACCTCTTGATGGGAGGAGTGTCAAAGAAAGCAAGGCCATGTTTATCAAGCAATCTTCCAGTCTTTTTATGTTATCAAGTTTTCCATATTCAGAAATGAAAGTCTTCTGAAGTTTCTTAACTAGTACATACTCCTATTTTGAACCACCATATTTATTAAAAGTATATCCGACTGTATATGAGTAGAGTAAGGCATTATGAATTGAAATTTCAAATGAACAACAAGGATGATGTAGCTGGGGGAAATGGTTCAAATAACTTTAAGAAGCTGCTGAAATGAGATCTTGACTCAACATTAACCTCAATAAAAATGATATATAACTTGGGGAACAATTGTATTTAACCTTATGAAGTAAGATCAATGCAATTAAAATAAATATTCTCTTGAGGCTGCACATGACTTGTGCTCTCTCTTATTTCATGTGCCTTAGTTGAGGTACTTG